GAGAGCCTCTGAGGGCCTCACAAAAGTTGTTTCAGGCTTTCTTAAGGCCTTCTGGGGGCCTCCTGGGCGTATTCTGGGGGCCTCTGGAGACTTCCTCGGGCCACCCTGCCTCCAACCGCGGTCCCCCTGAACGACCGGGTCACAATGTGGAATGCTTCGGAGGGTGTCTTGGGGCCATCTTGGGCCGCCATGGGGCTCTCTGAGGGCCACCTTGGACCCGTGTTGTGCCATTTTGGGGCTCTCTTGGACTGCCCGGATGGTTGCGGGGCGATGTTGGAGCCTCCCAGGCGGCTTCGGACGCCCAGAAGACCGCCGTCTTAGAGCGTCGGGAAGCCGACAAGAGGAGAGCCCCAAAATTCAGCAAAAACCTACAGAAAATCAAAGATTTGTGCCTCTTGGGACCTTCTTGGGAGTGCTCTTGGAGGCCTCTTTGGGGCCGTCCTGGAGGCCTTTTGGGACATCTTGAGGTCACGTCGGTCACTCTTGAAGCGCTCTTGTGCTGTCTTGGGGGTCTCTGGGACGTCCCCGATGACCCCCCTGATCGCCCTAGGTGTGCTGGGAAGGCTTGGCAAAACGCGCTGCGAGGCCCGGGGCGGCCGCTTCGAGGCCCGTCTGGAGGGTCCCAAAGCCCCAGATCTCGGGAGTCCGGTTTTGGGGGGGGGGGACGGGTTTTCCCCCCGCCAGGGCTTGTAACATAACAATATAGGAAGAGGAATATACATTTATAATTGTACATATTTGTGTGTATAAATGTAAGCATAAATAGATGTGTGTATATACATATATATATATACACATATACATATATATGTATACAGATAGCCAAAAGAGAGAGAGAGAGAGAGAGAGAGAGAGAGAGAGAGAAAGAGAGAGAGAGAGAGACAAAAAAAAGAGAGAGAGAGAGAGAGACCGACTGTGCATCAGCAATAAATCAGATAAGAGGTTATACAGGCGCGTAGCCCCTAATAGCCGAACGCAAAATGAGTTGGGGAAAATCGAAAGAAGGCTCTTCCAAGTACCGCCAGTGCCGCCTGGGGGGCCGAGGGGGGCGGAGAAGTCGAGGCAGAAAAAGCGGGAGAAACAAGAGGGACTGGTCCAAACACGATCCAATAGGCCGCCAAGAGGCCCCAAGAGGCCCCAAATAGACCTAAAAGAAGCCCCAGGAGGAACCGAAACGGCCGCCAACTGCCAAGAGGCCTCAAAACTGCCTCCCAGAGGCCCCCGAGAGGTCCCAGACGAGGCCGCAACGAACATCCTATGACATCCACATCCCAGGTACGGTGGTGGGAGGAGCCGAAAGCCATTAGACCTGCTTGGCACTGGGACGGAAAGCGCGTGAACTTTGTGAGGGCGCGAGTTCTTTGGCTTAGTGTCTTGGAGCACTGCTGATGTTAAGGCCTTGGTACGACGTGCAAGAATATACCAAAAAACTTTGCGATAATCGATTAACATGGCTTTTCTGGGCCTCCCTGGTGGTCCTGTTGGGGCTCGTTTGGACCGTCTTGGGCTGTCATTGGCCGTCCTGGGGCCCTCTTGGGCCGTCTTGGGGGGCCAGGGCCGTCTTGGGGCCCTCTGGGGAACCGCTTGAGGCCTTTTGGGGCTCTCTCGGGAACTTTTTGGGACCCTCAGGGGCCTCTCTTGGACCGTATTGCGGTTCTCTGGGGCCGTCTGGGAGCCCACTTGGGCCATCTTGGGGCCGTTTGGGGGGCCTCTTGGGCCGTCTTGGGGCGGTCTTCGGGGCCTCTTGAGCCGTCGTGCACGCTGTGAAGACCGAAGAAGCGAATATGCTAAAGATGCATGTTTCCCCGTGGGATTGGGACGATGTTTGCCTTTTGGAGCTCCTCTGGGGGGCGGGTTGGAGCGTCTTGAGGACCTGGGCCGACACAGGAACGAAAAGAGCAGTGCAGGAACTTGCCCGTGATGGCTCATGTCTCCCTTCGCTCTAGGGGGTGTTGGCGTGAAGAGCTTGTTGCGTCACCCCTCTCTGTTGGGAGCCCTGGTGTTCCTACTCCTCCTCCTCCTCCTCCTCCTCCCTCCTCCTCCTCCTCCTCCTCCTCCTCCTCCTCCTCCTCCTCCTCCTCCTCCTCCTCCTCCTCTCCTCCTCCTCCTCCTCCTCCCTCCTCCTCCTCCCTCCTCCTCCTCCTCCTCCTCCTCCTCCTCCTCCTCCTCCTCCTCCTCCTCCTCCTCCTCCTCCTCCTCCTCCTCCACCTCCTCCTCCTCCTCCTCCTCCTCCTCCTCCTCATCCTCCTGCTCCTCATCATCATCCTCTGCCTCCCTCCGCCTCCGCCTCCGCCCCTCCGCCTCCGCCTCCTCCTCCTACTCCTCCTCATACTTCTACTCCTGCTTCCTCCTCCTCCTCCCTCTCCTCCTCCTTCTCCTCCCCCACCGCCTCCTCCTCCTCCTCCTCCTCCTCCTCCTCCTCCTCCTCCTCCTCCTCCTCCTCCCCTCCTCCTCCTCCTCCTCCTCCTCCTCCTCCTCCTCATCCATTCCTGCCCCTTCTAGATAACTCCTCCCTGTTGCACCCCGCGGCTAGTTTTTAGGGCGGGCCAGGCGTTTCGCCTGAGACTTCCTCACCATCTATAACCCTGAAGCATAAAAGTGACAACAGTTTCACAGATGGAGGGCGGGTCGTTTCAAGATGTGGTTCTCGCCTTAGCGCCGCGCACATTCGTTCGAACGGGTGGTTTTCAAAATGTGGCTCTCGCCTTAGCGCCGCGCACATTCGTTCGAACAAATTGCAAGAGTTTCACGATGGAGGGCGGGTAGTTTGCAAAATGTGGCTCTCGCCTTAGCGCCGCGCACATTCGTTTTAAAACAAATGCAAGAGTTTCACGGACTGAGGGCGTGTGGTTTGCAAAATGTGGCTCTCGCCTTAGCGCCGCGCACATTCGTCTTAACAAGTTGCAAGAATTTCACGGATTGAGGCGGGTCGTCTTCAAAATGTGTCTCTCGCTTTAGCGCCGTGCACATTCGTTGTCAAAGCTTGCAAGGGCTTCACGGATTGAGGGCGGCTCGGTTTCAAAATGTCGCTGTCGCCTCAGCGCCGCGCACATTCGGTTTAAAAGCGTGTCCGAGTGACTCCCATGATCAACGTACCAGAAATGGCGTTTTGGAAGGATTCTGGATTATGCGGGCGCAGCAGTGATGTTCATTCGCTGTGCTGAAGTCCCAAAAATGGCGTTCTGGCACGATTCTGGATCGTCAAGACGCAGCAAGCAGGTTGATACGTGGCACTGAATTCCCGAGAGCAATGTTTTGGCAAGCTTCAAGATCTTCAAATGGTTGTCTTCCAACGAGGCAGGTCCCTCTGTTGAAATGAACCTATGTAGGGGCCTGTGAAGAGGGAGCTTGGGGGGAGGGTTTATTCCAACATCGTTGGTGACTAGTGGGTTTACACTGGTCCTCCTCCTCCTCCTCCTCCTCCTCCTCCTCCTCCCCCTCCTCCACCTCCTCCTCCTCCTCTTCCTCCTCCACCCCCCTCCTCCCCCTCCTCCTCCTCCTCCTCCTCCTCCTCCTCCTCCTCATCATCATCATCATCCTCCTCCTCCTCTCCTCCTCCTGCTCCTCCTCCTCCTCCACCTCCTTCTCCTCCTGCTTTTCAGCCTCTCCCTCCATCCGCTAGCCTGCCTCCTCGGCCTCATGCTCCTCCGCCTCCTCCCATCTTCATATTCATGTTTCTCCCCCACCCCCCCACCTCCTGAGATCCCCCGAACGGGGGATTTGGAAGTCCAATTTTGAAAAAAATTAGAGCCTCGATCCTGGAGAGAGGGAGGGACCTCCTCTACCTCCTTGCCTTCCTTCCCCGCCTCCTCCTTCTCGCCCCACGGACACGTCCGCGAGCCCCGGCAACCGTCAAAACATTACGATTATCTGGAAATCCTCTCATATTCCTCCTCCTCATCATCACCACCACCACCACCGCCACCCAGGACCACCACCACCATCCGCATTCTCCCCACCGCCCTCATCACTAGCACCAAAAAGCCTCAATCCTGACTAAATTACCTGCGCAATCGCATGGCGTACCCTGAATTCCACGACCGTCACACGACCAGACAGGCCAACGTGAACGGCGCGAAGTCGTACGTACCAGTTGAACGCCGACGGACGCCGTATATATAATGCGGAAAGAAGAGGGAGAGAAGGAACCTCGTCCTCCTTGTGTGCGTTCGTCGAAGAGACGGCCAGGAAGAGGGGAGGTTAGCGCATCATTGCCCGAGTTGCGTGCGCAGACGAGGGGGACAGGGAGCGAATTGAAAGAAGAAGAAGAAGAAGAAAAAAAAGAAGAGGGAGGCCATGATATCGGGGAGATATGATGCCCCCGGCCATGAGACCAACCACCCTCCCTAATTTGAAAGCAAGTAAACTCAGCAACGAAAAGCTCGGCCGGGCTGACAGCGGCCAGCTGAATCTGGCCAGGCTGAACTCAGCCGGCTGACCTCGGACAGGCTCAACTTGGCCAAGCTGGGTTCGGCCTGGGCCAAATTCAGCCTGCCGGACTTCAGCCTGGCCGACTTCAACCTGGCCGAGTTTCGCCTGACCGAGTGATTCCCTCGTCGCCCCCGCACCCCTGACCGCCCCCAGTCTATCCTCCACGCTCGCCCTCCTACGCGCACCCCCCCCCTCTCGCCCCCGTCCGCAGGCCTGGGGCGCGGATGTCCGGCAGCTTCGGCGGCCCCATCGCCCCAAAAAAGGGGGGCCTCCTCGAGGGGCGAGGAGCCCTCGTCGTCGTCTCCTCCTCCTCCTCTTCTTTCTCCTCCTCCTCCTCCTCCTCCTCCTCCTCCTCCTCCCCCTCCTCCTCCTCCTCCTCCTCCTTCCTCCTTCCTCCTTCCTCCTTCATCCTTCCTCCCTCCTGCTTCCTCCTTCCTCCTTCCTCCCTCCTTCCTCCCGCCTCCTTCCTCCTTCCTCCTTCTTGATTCCCTCCTTCCTCCTTCTTCCTTCCTCATTCCACGTTATACTTCCTCCTTGCTCCTTTCTCCTTGCTCCACGCTCAGTGCTCCTTGCTCCGTGCTGCGTGCTCCTTGCTCCTTGCTGCTTGCTGCTTGCTCTTTGCTCCTTCTTCCTTCCTCCTTCCTTCTTCCTTCTTACTCCTCCTCCTCCTCCCCCTCCTTCCTGCTTCCTCCTTCCTCCCTCCTCCTCCTCCCCCTCCTCCTCCTCCTCTTCCTCCTCCTCCTCCCCCCTCCCCTTCCTCCTCCTCCTCCCCCTCCTCCTCCTCCTCGTTTTCCATTCCTTTCCTAACAAATAACTCCCCCCTGTCACACCCCGAGGCGGGTCAAAAGGGCGGGCAGGGCTTGTCGCCTGAGACTTCCTCACCATTCACGAGCCTGACGCTTAGATACGGACAACCGCTTCACAGATGGAGGGCGGGTCGCTTCCAAAATGAGGTCCCCACCTGAGCGCCGCGCACATGTTTTAGTTGTGAAAGCTTCACGGATTGAGGGCAGGTCGTTTTCAAAATGTGGCTCTCGCCTCAGCGCCGCGTACATTCGTTCTGAAAACTACACGAGCTCCACGGATTGAGGGCAGGTCGTTTTCATCATGTGGCACTCGCCTTTGCGCCGCACACATTCGCTTTAAACATGTGCAAGAGCATTTCGGATTGAGGGCGGTTCCTTTTCAAAATGTGGTTCTCGCCTGAGCGCCACGCACACTCGTCCTAAACATGTGCAAGCGTTTCACGGATTCCCATGGTCAACGTGCTAGAATTGTGTTTTGGAAGGACTCGGGATTTTGAGGGCGCAACAGTTAAGTTGACTCGTGGCGCTGAAGTCCCAGAAACGGCGTTCTGGCACGACTCCGAATCGTCAAGACGCAACACTCATGTTGATTCGTGGCGTTGGAGTCCCGAGAACGGAGCTTTGGCACGCTTCAGGGTCTTCAAAAAGTTGCCTCACAACGAAGCAGCTCCCTCAGTGGAACTGAACCCTTGTATGGGGCCTCTGAGGGAGCTTGGAGGGAGGGTCTGTATTCCAACATCGTTGATGAGTATTGGTTTTACACTGGTCCTCCTCCTCCTCCTCCTCCTCCTCCTCCTCCTCCGCTGCCGCATTCTCTACCTCGCCCCGCTGGGTATCAAAGGTAGGGCGAGAGGGCGGAAGGAGGATGGCAAAAGATGGCTGAGGGCGGCGGAGGACGCCGACGGAGAATGACGGCGCACGGCTGAAGGGGGCGGAGGGAGTGGAGGGAGGAGGGTGAGGGAGAACGGAGGGCAGAGGAGGATGGGACCGAGGAGGGAGGCGAGGGTGGAAGGCGACGGGGGGGCGGTGAGGGACGAGGACGGAGGCCAGGGGCGACGGTAAGCGATCCAGGAGGAAGGCCAGGGAGAGAAGGCCAGGACGAGGGGGGAGGGACGGGCCGGAGGCGAGGGGCCCACGGCGAGCGAACCCAGGGCGAGGAGGAAAGCTCGGAGGACGGCCAGGCCGGAGCCGAGGAGGAGAGGGGAGCGGTGAGGGCCGGGGAGGGCGGCGCAGAGGGGGGAGGGGACGGCGAAGGGCGGGGCGGCGCGTGCCGGCGGGGCGGCGCGGGGGGAAAGCGTCCGTGCAAGGGGCCACGGGAGCCCGCTGTCGGGCAGGGGCCTCGGTGGAAGGCCGCCCCGCCTCGCGCCTGCCGCCAAAGGGGGGGGCGGAGGACGGCGCGGAGGGAGGCAGAATCGTACGCGTTCGGGGCTCCGCGGGAGCGTCCTGGGTCGGCGGGCGGCCCCTCCCCTCCCCTCTGGCGGCGCCCCGTGGCGCGCTTGGCGCGGCGAGGCGGGGAGATCCAGCGGCGACATCCGACAGCTCATGCTGACGCTATTCGTTCTGTGATTCGACATCCTAAGGGAGGGGCGACGGAGGGGTTGTGGGAGGACGCGGATGAGGAAGGACGACGGAGGGGCGGTCGTCGTCGAGCGTCGGAATGTTCGTTACGCCGCTCCCGCGCACACTGGGGGTGGGCTGGGCGGCACGAATACAACTTCCGCCACCAGCCACAGGAGGGGACGGCGAATGGAAGGGAGGGAAAGGGGCGGAGGGAGGAGGGAGAATGAGCGGGGAAGCACGGGGCGGGGGGGCGAAGGTGAGGGAAGAAGAGGGCGGTGGGCATGGGGCGAGGGGGGACAGCGAGGAGAGCAGGACAAGAGAAGGAAGACGCTCAGGGGGAGGGGAAGCACGAAGAGGCGGAAGAGGAGGACAGCAAGGACGAGCGAAACAAAGAGGATGAAAGAGAGTACTGATCTGTAGGGTGGTGTTCCTTCTTTCCTCTTCCCTCATCCTCCCTCCCCATCATCCTCCAAAAAAAAATTGTCATCACCACTCCTCATAATCATGGATGTCTCACCGAGACCATGAGAATCCTCTCACATATGGAAACAGATAAACAGTTCCACTCAAAGCGAAAATCAAAAAAAACATACCAAAAAAGGACAGGAACGAAAGTCAGAGGTCGTTAACAGGGTGGAGGGAATACGGAAGCTAGAGAACATCAGGGGGGAGGAGGAAGGGAAGGAAGAGGGAGCAGAAGGAGGGGGAGGGAGAAGAGGAAAAGAAAAAGCAGGAGCAGAAGGCAAAGGGAGACGAGGGAAAAGGACGACGAGAAGGAGGAGAAAGACGATGAGGGGAGGGAAAGGAGAAAAAGCGAGAGGGAGGGAGGGAGGGAGGGGGAGAAGAAGGACGACGGGGACGAGAATCAGAGATTACAGAACAACCGACAAAAAAAAAGCGACGACAACACGACGACGACGACGACGACGACCAAGGGACGCGGCTGGTCCGGAGCCAGCCGGCCGGGGTGGGGCGCGCCGGGTCGCGCCTGGGCCTCTGTCGTGGGCACGCGAAGGGCCGGGATGGAGGATGAAAGAAAAGGAAAGTGTCTCCTTCTCCCCCGCTGTTCCTGCTGCCCTCGAGGCGCGGGGAAAGCTACTCCTCCTCCACCTCCTCCACCTGCTTTTCCTGTTCGTCCTACTCCTCCTCCTGCTCCTCCTCCTCTTCCTCCTCCTCCTTCTTTTCCTCCTCGTCCGCCATCTCCTCCTCCTCCTCCTCCTCCTCCTAATCCTAATCCTCCTCCTCCTCCTCCTCCTCCTCCTCCTCCTCCGCCTCCTCCTCCTCCTCCTCCTCTTCCTCCTCCTCCTCCTCCTCCTCCTACTCTCCTCCTCCTCTTGCTCCTCCTCCTCTTCCTCCCCCTCCTCCTCCGCTTCTTCCTTATCCCCCTCCCTCCTCCCTCTCCTCCTCCTCCTCCTCCTTCTCCTCCTCCTCCTCCTCCTCCTTCTCCTTCTCCTCATCCTCCTTCTCCTCCTTCTCCTTCTCCTCCTTCTCCTCCTCCCTCCTCCCCCTCCTCCTCCTCCTCCTCTTCCTCCTCCTCCTTCTCCTGCTCCGCCTCCTCCTCCTCCTCTTCCTGCTAGGTGCATTCCAAAGTGTGAGTAATTGTTCTGCCATAGCTCGAGAGGCGGACCGATATCAGGTCTCTCCAGCACGCATGCAAATACGACAGATGCCGCTGACCCTGTTCTCAAAAATGAAAAAGTATGTAGTTGCTCTGCATCTCGAGATGAAGTCGAAACACCTAAGATATGCCCCAACAAATTACAGAGTGCTAATCGTGTTTCGGGAGCAGAGCAGCAGACCGATCTCAGGCTTCTCAAGCCTCTAGACGAATGTTACCGATGCTACTCGATCAAAGTTTGTACATGGAAACGCAATAGATATTCTAGAAATGATCCTGTCCATAAACCCAACATACGCATACACAACTGTTGTCTCAAGGTCGGTAGCTAATGAATCGACAGAAATGCTGCAGCTAGCGCGCTGAATCTTTTACTGGCACTTTCTACATGCCACATGCTCAGTATACTCATTTCGTAGAGCTACGCAACCGCAGCCGCAGCCGCGCAGCCGAAGCCGCGCAGCGGAGCAGCGGCGCAGCCGCGCAGCCGCAGCCGCGCAGTCGCAGCGGCAACCGCAGCCACAGCCGCCGACTCTACAATATAGAAAACGATGAAATTATATTTTGTCATTTAACTAGTTCTAGAGTTCTTGACAGATTTCGACTCCCTCAGGCGTTCGATCTAATCCATGTATCATTAATCTGCGGGGGAAATCCGTTGGAGTCTTGGCAATATGGGTCGCAGTTCGTTCTGCCAACCGGCTTGACATCCAAAGAAGTTAAAGGATCACTACTTGTTGGTGCAACTAATATTTCGGCCATAATTCGAGAAACAAACCGATATTTGGCTTCTCGGGTCTCTGGACACATGCTTTCGATGCTGCTTAAGTTACTGCCACACATGAAACCTCTGTAGCTGCTCAGGATATCGAGATCGAATTGAAAAATCACCATCTGTCCGGATAGTTTTTCGAACACAGGTTGACGCCAGCCGATCTCCGGTTTCCACCTTGAATACGAAAGCTTATGATGCTACTAAACCGATTCGCATACATTCAACGCCTGTAGATGCTCTGAATGTCGAAATCAAGTCGGGAAAAAACGAACCTGTGCCCAAAGAGTTGCAGAGTGTGAATATGGCCATAACTCGAGCAGCAGACCAATCTCGGGTGTCCCGATCCTCTGGGCTGGACTTCAAATGCTGCTGGTGCTATCGGTACACATGACACCTAAGCAGCGGCTCTGAATCTCGAGATCAAATCAAAAAAATGGAGCATGCACCGAAAATTTGCAGAGTGCGAATAGTTGTTGGAGCATATCTCGAGGAGCGGACTGATCCCAGGCCGTTGGTCCACGTGAACGAGAGCTTCTGATGCTGCTAGAACGTCTACATAAAACTTACGCAGCTGCTCTGAATGTCAAGATCAATTCGAAAGAAAGACCCCCCCCCAAAAAAAAAAAACACTTGTCCCAAAAAGCTACGGAGTGCATATTTTTCGTCAGTAGCTCGAGTAGCAGACCGCGCTTGGGCGCCCCGACCCTCTCGACTAGAGCTTCCGATGCTGCTGTAGCGCCCCGCACACATGAATGAAACTCTGCAGCTGCTCTTTCCCTAGAGATAAAATCGATAAACCGAACATATGTCCGAAAGAAACATACATAATGCGAGAAGCTGTTCGGTTATAGCTCGACAAGCAAGCCAATACCAGGCGTTTCGTCCAAGTAAACGCAAGCTTATGATGCTGCTGAACCGATGCGTCTACATAAAACTGTTGGAGCTGTTCTACATGTAAAGATCAAATCGAAAAACCCATGCAAGCACCCAGAAGAAATGCATAACGCAAACTGTTTTCAAAGCTCGAGTAGCAGACCGATCTCAGGCGCCCCGATCATCTAGCTTGGAGCTTCCGATGCTGTTGAAGCTCGCGATACAAGTGAACAATCGAAGAGCTACTATAAATCTCGAAATGTTGTCCATAAACCGAATGCCCTCCCAAAAAAAAAAACTAATATGTTCCAAGATCGGCTGCTGGAAGAAAGTAGATGGAAATGCGGCAGTTAAAACCCTAACACTTTCACCAGCAAATTCTAAAAATGCTGATCCTCAGCTCAAACCTCCATTCTCAACAAATAAAAAATCGAGCAGTCTTCGAAAAAACAAACCCAACTTATCACTTCGTCTCTTCTGCACGGGTCGGCCAACTAGGTCTGCCCTGACGCCAAATTGCTCCAGCTGCAGTCGAACAACGAGCTCTACGAGCCATTCCTCCTAGCTCATCTCACCGAAGATCTCTACGAGGAAAGTTCATTCTGGCCCGATCGGCCAACTAGCCGCCGAACTGGGCGCCAACGGTAAACTGTCAACCCGTTCTCTTGCGTTTGCGCGGGGGTGGAGGGCTCCACATAAGCCCGCCCGGGCAGATCTGGCCCAAACGACACCGACGGCTCCAGGGGCCTAGAGGCCGCGCAGGACCATCGCGGCGGTTTGGAGCAAGCCCTCGAGCCCAGACAACTCAGCATGAGCGGGAGCTTTCGGCGGGGGGCGCGCGAGCCACCACAGCGACGCCGCTCCAAACGACTGGGTCGTAGTGAGGCGCGCGATGGAAAGGCGCGCGACGGAAAGGCGCGCCGGGGCCCTCGCAGAGCTCCGCAGCCGCGGCCGCGGCCGCGGCCGCGGCAGCAAACGCGCAGCCGCGGCCGCGCAGCTGCCGAATGATGCAAACAGTTGTTTTCAACATAGCTCAAGACATACACCGATCTCAGGCTTTCGGAGCATATGAACGAGACCATCTGATGCTGCTGAACTATTCGTTTAATGAAAAACCCGACTACAGGCGCCCCGATCCTGTGGAGTTGAGCTTCCGATGCTGCTGGAGCTCTCGGCGCGCGTGAAAACTCTGGCCCGATCGGCCAACTTGCCGCCGAAGTCCTCTTAATTTATCTAACCAAACTTGCGTGGTCAAACTGGGCACTGGCAATGCCGTCATACTGGCTACCACCGAGGACCTACTAGAGCTCTGCAGCCGCCGCCGCGGCCGCAGCCGCCGCAGGAGCAGCCCCATGCTCTACAATGCAGAATTTTGCCGACTAATCTTCCAAAATTCAATTATTCCTACAGTTCGAAACAAACTTCGCCTCCCCTGGGCGTTACATTTGATTCATGTATGTCGCGAGAAATTGGTGTGAGCCTTGGCAATGGTCTATGGTCCGCAGTTTCTTCTGCCAATATGTTTCCAAATGTCTACAACATTATGAAATGATGTAGCTTCTTGACGAGACAGGATCATTCAGCGAATTCCTAGACCTATCAAATCGACCAAACAAAACGTTGCCTAAAAGTTGCAGGGCGCAAGTAGTTGTTCGGCCAAAGCTCGAGAAGCTGACCCAGATCACGCTTCTCGAATATGGATACGACTCCTTCCAGTGCTGCTGAACCTATTCGCCGACCTAAGATCTGCGCTGCTGCTCTCATTTCCGAATGCGAGTATAACAACCAAATGCTTATCAAAGCACACAGAGAGCATCGAGCTTCTAGACTACTGCGTTCGATGCTGCTACAGTTACGCCTACACATGACACTTGCAGCTGCTCCAAATCTCGAGATCCAGCTCAAAAACCGGGCATGTGCTCCGCCAAAGTACAGAATACTATTAGCTGTTCGAATCTGGCTCCGCGCAGACCGATCTCGGGCTCTCGAGCAGTGTTTACGAAACCTTGACGCTGCTGAGCTATTCGTCTTATGAGACCGTAGATTCTCCAAATGTCGAGATCAAGTTGGACAACAAACACTCAACCCAAAAAGTTACAGGGTGCATCTAAAGCTTAAGCCGCAGCTCGACTAGGAAGCCAATAGCCGCTGTTGAGCGTCATCTTGGCAGGTGCTGTCGGCTTTCTTAACTTAACTCGAGCTGCAGACTAGCTACAGAGCTGTTCGGCACAGCAACCGAAAGAAATTCATCAGGAGCGCAAGTCTCAGGTATCCAGACGCCCAAGATTAAGCCCAGGCTTTTCGAGCTCTAGGCTGGCTATGGAGTTGAGAAGCACTTTTCGGGAAAAAAAAAAATATCATATACATGTGCCTATGGCATCGAGACGTCTGGATTCGGCCTGTAACCATAGCTGCGACAGGAAAACTACTCGGACTGTACATATGTTACGAGAGATGATGTGCGTTTTCTGATTTAAGTTTGAGCCGAGGCCTGCTATGGAGCTGAGATGCACACCAATCGACAGGGAACGCTCAGAAGCACTCTAAACTATCTAGACACCTGAGATAGAGCTGCGACCAAATAAAAAGTTGCATCCTTTGTTCTTATGAGAAACGGGATTGGATTTCATTCATTCGAGTTATACGCGAGCTAGGAAGCTGAAAAACACACCGCTCAACAGGAAATCACCAGTCAGTGTCGCTGAGAGTGTCGAGAACAAGACTGTTGTTCCCAGAGCTATAAGAACTACTGCACT